TTTGCGGTGGAAGGTCAGAGACGGGACACAAATTCGGGTTATGCAGGATAATTGGCTGCCATCATCTCCCCATCATGCCCTCAACTACGACCAGGTATACAATCCTGCCCTTCACTAGTTTCCGAGCTCATTTGCCATACATCCCATTCGTGGAAGACAGATCTCCTGAACTCTCTTTTCATGCCTGTGAGTGTGGATCTTATTCTGTCCATTCCTCTTCCTGTATCTTATACTTTAGACAGAGTGATTTGGCATTACTCTCCTTCTGGAGTTTATACTGTAAAGACAGGTTACCATCTACTGTCAAACGAGTATCGCGGTTTTGGAAACTTCTTTGGAGCTTGCCGGTGCCGCCCAAGTTGAGATTCTTCTTCTGGCGGGCTGTCCGTGGCTTCCTTCCGCTTCAAACAGTCTTGTTCACCAAAACTCTGGTTCCAACCACGGAATGTCCCATCTGTTCGGCGGAACCAGAATCCTTTTCCCATTTCTTCTTTGGTTGCAGGGTGGCGCGCGGTTTATGGAGCCTGGCGAACAGAGAAGACTTATGCAGTCACCTTGGCGGAATGGCCCCTGATGATGCTTGGAATCATCTATTTTTCTCCTTGAACTTGTCTAAAACTGAAATTGCAGATGTGATCTTCATTTTATGGAGGATTTGGAAAGCTAGGTGTTGGTCTGTACATGCTCATATTCAATATTTGCCATTGCCCTTATTTCGTCAGTTTCAGAGGCAGCTAGAAGAATGGAGGGGAGCTGAACAGGTGGCGCCAACCATCCCCAGGCAAGGTCCTGTAACAGAATGTAGACAGGGCAACGGCGACCGGACAGCGGCGGGACTGCCCTCCACCGTAATCACCGTTTGGTTTGATGGTGCAGCTAAGCGGGGACGAGGTGGTAGCATTGGCTACGTTGGTTTTCAACCTACAGGTAATGTCCTATTTGCTTTTGGGAAATACTACGAAGGGTTACATGATCTTTTTGTTATGGAAAGTCTGGCTTTACGGGATGCTCTGCAATGGTGTTTGACTCATGGTTTTGTGTGTGTCCAATTTCATGGGGATTCGCAACAACTGATACGGCGTATGGTGGGGGAGGATTTTGCTCATGATCGAAGTGGTGCGGTGCTTGAAGATGCTCGGGTTCTAGCTGCCCAATTCAGTTGGATTTCGTTCTGTTTTGTTTCTCGTCAACTTAATAGGGTCGCCCATCTTGTGGCACATAAAGCCCTCTCATCGAGATTTGACTATTGGTCGACTCCCGCGCTTTACTTGACTCCTCTATTTGACTCTCTTGTTACCCCTACTTTTGGAAGAAAAAAAAATCTTTCCGAGGGGTTTTTAAGGGTTTGATAATTTTCCCGGGTATAAGTGCTCGTGCTTGACATGGGAAAATTATTTTTCGAAATTTTATGAAGGTTCAAGTTAGGTGAAAAATTCGTCCAAGATATAAATTAATTAAGAAAAATGGTCGCTTTTGAAGGGATTAATTCTAGAAATTTTTAATGGGGGTTAAAGGACCCTTAGAATGAGTTCAAGGTCTGGAGTTTAAGGAGAGGAAGTTCTAGTGATTCAAAAGGGGTCTTAAATCAAGAAAGTTTGTCTAAGAAATGGATTCTTATTAATAGGGTTCCCCAACAAAATCCGGGTAAGGAGGGGTTTCTTCGAGGAAGGAATTGAGGATTCATCTTTTCGAGGTGAGTGTAAAGGGGGTAAAATCTCTGTCGTAGGTCTTCTAGTTTATGCTTTTCGTTCAAGTTATTATTATGAGTTAATTTTGAGTAATGCGCGATATGTGTGTGAGGCATCCCACCGCCTGTAAGGGTGGAGGCACGCGTTGTGCTATGTATGAATGTTTGTGATGTTGTATGGATTGATGGTATGAGAACCCCCGGGCGGTTGGGCCACTGGACGACGTAGATGGTCGGGTCACTGCTGGACGGCGAGACGTAACGCAGCAGTTGATCGAGTATGTTGGGGTCACTACTGGACGGCGAGACGTAACGCAGTAGTTGACGGGCAATGAATGGACGGCGAGACGTAACGCAGTGCCATTGCCAAGTTTTTGTATGCAACCGGACGACGAGACGTAACGCGGTTGGCATACTAGGGTAGGACACCGGACGGCGAGATGTAACGCAGTGGTCCTAAGTAAAGTTTAAAGGATGAAAGTGAGAACGACTTTCGTCTAAGGAAGGCATTCCCCTAATAATGTGTTTAGTAAGGAGTTTTCCTAGGGCAAAGACCTTAGGAAGTAACGACGAGACTGACCCCTTCTCACTCACCAGGTTGAGGATAGTCTAGCAGAAGTGGATCACGAGAAGAAGCAGGGCGAGGCGACCAGTAGTACCAGCGTCGTCGGGATATCGGAAAGCTCGTGAGGATTCAAGTTAGATTAGTTAATTATTCTGTTACATGGTTATTAGTATAAACTGGAGATTCTGGTTAAGTCATTTTAAGTGTTTGAGATTGAGAATTTTGCCCAAGAGTTGGGGCTTTTCGTTAAAAATTCTTAAATGATGTCAGTTTGTTTATCTTAAAATGTGGTTGGGTTGCTCCGGAGTAACCGGTTTTTGGGTTGAGTTATGGTTTGGTTTTTGAAAAGAGACGGGACGTGTCACAACATGTGTAGTTACTCCAAATCAAGGAGAACCTGCACAAAGACACAGTAAACTTCATTCACGTAGCTCATAAATGAAAAAAAGCAATTATGGAAGAAGCAAAACAATATATAGGTCATTAAACTAATTCTGAGGTTGAATCAGAAGTTGAGAGAAATAAGTTGGGGATTGTTTCTGAAGAGAAATCAAGGAAGAAGAAGGGCCCTGATTCTGAGAAGCTTCAGATGGGGAAGGACATATATGGTGGAAATCCATCACCAAGCAAGCCCACTTCTCTGTCACAAAGTGAGAATACAAAGTGGCCAAAATGGATGATCAAGAGATGGCAGAATCTCCCTCTCCGTCTGAGCCCTAAGTAGCTTCTTCCGAGCCGGAAAACATGAATCATCCATGACCTTCATTGCAAAATACGTCAAGGTGCTGGTCAACTCGAACAGGTAAACATTACCTATGTCTAAAAACTCGAGCTTCTTCACAGCTTGCAGACCTGAATTGGAAGTTGGTAAGCCACAAAACATTTGTTAACCTCTGAAATAGCATGATTTCTGAAACCAATAACATATTAAGAAAAGAAAGTATCAATTAATTTAAATTCATGTAGCAGACAACCAACAACCATGATTGATCAAACCTTTTTCTCTCGTCCTTTCCCTCTCCCTCTCCCACATATTCAACCAAGCAAAGCCTAGCTATAACAACTACTGCAGCTTACTTACGATCACCTGCTTCCCCATACTCATGACCCTCAAACCCTTCTACCATGCACAAAAACCCACAAATCAGAAATATGATGCAAAGAATATCCCAAAAATTACAACTAACTTCCTTCATGAGTAATAGCAAAGCAACCCCAAACTGCATAGATTCTTCCTTACCATGGTACCCAATACCAGCCAAAAAATTCTAGTCGCACAGAACATGTGCTCATCCCTCTCCACACCTTCCTCGTGATACATCAGGACAGACAGTTTCCTGCAAGCAACTGAACTCGATCTTCTCCCTGACAGTCTCGATTATCTACCTATAAGCCAGTTTCCCCGTCGCATCTGCTATAGAAAATGTTTTGAGTTGTCATGCACCTATCTGAACAAAGAAAACTCAAGAGAATGATAAGAGGAAGCGACATTATTAGTACATATGGCATGTCATCCATAGCCTAAGCTTCATTAGTTTACCAAGATTGCAGAAAAAAACACAACCATATTTCCATCTCTTATAAACATAATGAATTGCAACCAGATTTGCAGAATGCAAATAAGAACACAAATCTATATAAAGATTGTTCTATGAGACTCCTCAAGAGTAAGTTATTTTATGAATCCATAAACCCAAACAAAGAAATAAAAGCATTCAAGCGGACTACAACAATTCAAGCACCTAAAAATGTGATAGGTGTAACAATAATCTAGAGAATTTCCTAAACTTGCATTGGGCAGTAGGTCCTTGGTGTCTCAATAAGCCTCTTTCGAGTGGTTGGCAGGCTTCACAATCCACAAACCTGTGCGAGAAAATAATACCAGAGCACAAGCTCATTACATAAGCCAATCTCCTTTTACGTAATAAAAGGTTGCATTACTATAACCAAAAGATCTCTTTGCACTAACTCATTGAACTTGATGATTCCAATGCTGACTAAACGCACCAAACCCACAGATAAACCCAAACATATGCATTCCATTCGTTTGTAAGGCTTCTTTTCCAATTAAAATCATTAAACCCACAACAAATGAAAGCAGCAAAAATGGAGAAGACAATTGATTCCGAAACAAACCCGGTACGTTCTTTCTCAGCCTTGCAGAGAATGTAACAAACATCAAGAAAAAATGGATATTCTCATTTTGAATCAAAGAGAACAAATAAACTGAACCACCCAGCGATTGAATTTTACCTGCACATAGACAGAGACTATGAAACTCTCATTCGATCCGCGCCCTACAAAAACAGGAAGGAAACAATGGACTCACAGGGCAATGAATCGAGATCACAATTAGAAGGCAAGAAGAGAGAAATATAGAGAGAGATGCTCACCGGCGCCACACTCGGTTCCGCGCTACACGGAAGATCGGCTCTCGCATCTTCTCCATACGGCATCTTATCACCAACTCCAGGTATGAAATTTGGTAGAAGACAAATTGGAGGGGAACCCGCAAAGGGGCTCTTTGCCACTGAGGGCCTATTGTGTTAAAACATGAAAGGGGATACGCTTTTTCAACCCAAAGACCTTAGACACTGTTTCATTTTTTGGCGTCTAGCGTCCAAATCGTGGAAAAACTCCTCCAACGCAATCTCTTCACCCGCAGCCGTACGCAGATCCCCTCAGCCTTACCCTCAATTCAGCAACCGCAGATCATCGCAATCTCTTCACCCGCATCCGTACATAGATCCCCTTGGCCTTACCCTCAATTCAGCAATCGCAGATCGCCGCACATACTCCATGGGCAGCGGTACTGTAGCCGTGCCTTACCTAGGCTCAGTTTCCATCGAAACCTCTCGCCGTTCACCTCGGCCTGGTCCTCAATCCAGCAAGCGCCGTACCGTTCCTCGCTCAGTTTCACAGCAACCGCAAGTCACCACCCATACTCCACAGTCGGCAGTATGTGTCCGTACCGTACCTACGCTCAGTTTCACCGAGAACACGCATTCCCCGGTCATGTCTATCTCTTCCCCGTTCTATTCTACTGTCCCCAATTTTCCCACTCCCTTGACCCCTTCTCGCGTGCTCGCTCATGCAACCGCCCATACTTTCAGCACCGTGTGGTTTACTTCACTCTCTGTAGAGAAGATTGCTCTCTTCTTGCTCAAATCCTCCTCTTCTGTTCCAACTCTCATTCTATTCTTTTGCTTCCTCTTTCTCCCCGTCACCGCTGCAGTCGTCCGTCGACAGAGGAAGTACTGCACACTCTGGTAGTGATTTGCATTGCCCTTTTGATGCTTAGAAGTGTGTTGTTGGATTTGTCGATTTCTAGATGTGAAGTGCTGAAATCCAAGATTAATTTAGGCCCAGAACATCGGAGTTTTGTCTAGGAAAAAGTTCATCTTGATGTTACTAGCCCTGTAGGAGAGGAGAGGAGAGGTGAAAAAGAAGAATGGAGAAGAGCTTCTTTTTAAAGTTCATCTTGATGTTATCCCTATAGGAGAGGAGAGGTGAAGAAGGTGATCTCATGCTAATTCATCTGAATATTTTATTCCAACAATAACTTACACCAATTTGCTTGCCCCATGTGCTCTGGATGACAAGTAGTAGTTTTTATTATTTTTTCAGACTAACGAAGAAAAGTTTGGTTCTCTGATGCAGAAAACGGAAGCAAGAGAAGGAATGAATTTGCACCTCTCAACTTCTGGCCTTCTAGGAGTTCCAGCAAGATCTAATTTTAGTAGATACGAGGCTAGAGTTAGATTGAATGACTGCAGTTTAGCTGTCCCATTTCATACTTGCCTGAAAGGCTGACATTTTGCAAGTTCCGAGCTAGGAAAGAAGATGATAAAAGCAGCAAGGTCGAGGAAGATAAGAGCACTGCAGGTGGCAATTCCGCTGCTTCCTTCGAATTGTGTTTTGAGTTTGTTAATTCTCAACTCTTAACACTGCATTTGACAGATTTGGAGCAAGCTAAGAAGAAGCAAAGAGGGTCAATAAGGGAGGGTCAAAACATTATTTGGCATTTCTTTGAGCTGTGGTGAGTTCAATCAATTGCTTATACTTTGTTGAAATGCATTAATATTCTGAATTCTGGGTTCATTTGGAGACTGCACGAAGCTTTGGTGAGACTTGAGAACATGCCACATAATTTAAACCTCTTACACAGTTTGGCTTTTTACCACTTTGGGTGATTTGATGCTAGATTCTTTCTTCTTTTCATACTGAACTCATTGTGCTGTCTTTGTTCCACAGTAGCCGAATCTAATTTTGCAGTTCAGCATATGGTGAACAATGCCATCGTAGAAGAGGTGCCATTCAGTTTCTTCCATTAATATTTCAGGTCAATGGTCAAATTAGAGGTAATCCTTTTCATTTTTAGCAATTGTTATGATGAATTTCACTACTCAAACCTGAATTCCAACCTTATTATGTAGCTTTTTGGTGTTGGTGCATCTCATAAATCTCACGAACTCTGCTAGGTTTTCTGGAAGCTAGATAGAGTGAATGTCCTGGCTTCCTATCTTCCTCCGCTACAGGCTCTTCTATGTATATTTTTGCTACTTTTGTCAATGGAATCGTTCCTCTACTGAACAACACATTGCGAGCCTTATGCAAGTGCTTTGAAAGGAGAAACTTAATATTACTCAGTGAGTTGTGGAGCAAATTTTTGTTGTTCAAATTGTCATGGCGGGTCTCTCTCTCTTTCCATGATCATTTCATCAATTTCGAGTTTGCCATTTTGGTCATTTGTTTTCATTGTTTGCTTGATGCAAATTTACCTAATTGTTTGCTTGATAATGTTGCTTGCTGTTTGAATTCTATGGTTGTAGAGAAAATTGTCTTTTCTTCTTTTGTACTATCACTTCACCGTCAGTTACTTTTGGGGATAGGATGTAAGTGATGTAACCTTGAAACTTAACAAACCTGCTCAATTTGCAGATTCTCTGCGTATATTACCAGGTATCCATTATGCAAGTCCAAGGGAACAACATAACTCATGAGCCCTTTCATGGTGACCAATCACGCCAGTCAGTCCCAACATATCCTCGGCTTTAAAATGAGAGCCAAATCCAAATGCAGCCAAAAACAAGAAGAAAGCTATGATATTCATTGAACAATGAGCCTCCAGTCTTAAATTCCCTCTACAAGCAACAACCAGTTTAATTGTTGTTGCATTCACCTCAGGACTCACATTTGGAGGGACTCCCATCAACTGCCCCAGCATAACAACTCGATTCCTGACCACAGTTTGGCCATACCTCTTACCACCAATCTGAGAAGTGAGAAGTTTGGTGTTTTAACTGGTCAAATGTCATCTTTGCTGGGACTGATGCCCGAAGTGCAGTAGAGACTGGATTTGGAGGATTGCTTTCACAGGACTTTACCCTAAAGTAAACACCAGCAATGTGTGTCAGACCACTTGAGGAACACTTGAATAGAAGGGAACCATAAGAATGAAGACTGATGATCATCTAATATAAGAAGGCCAATGAAACATATAAAGGGTGGAGCTTACCATATATAATATCCACGGACCACGGTTCCAGCTTGCTTTTGGTTTCTCTGCTCTTCTAACAAGCTGACCTTTGTTTCGGAAACTATGTATGTTTGTTATTCCTGGCAAAATTGGGCTTGCTCACCCGACATGTAATGGATCACCGAACAAACTCGAGAATAATAGCAGGTGTAGGTGCAACTAAAATTCTCAGCATGCTTAGAATAGAATGATTGAACTTTGCAGTTGATGTGATCCACTTGAATCATACTTTACAGGTGACGAATATTTTATTTGTAATTTCAAAACTTTTGAACAAAAAAATTATACTTGCTTTCTAGATTCAATTAGAATTTCTAACTATTTGTCATTTCTTGAAAAAATGCTTACATTCTTCTGTGAGTCCTACTTCTGGTAGGTAACAGACCTTTCAATTGCGATTATCATCCCTAATCATAAAGAGTTTGTTTTTGTACGGGTTTATCAAGTAATTCTGCTTTCTACCCAAATGTGGCTCCACATGGAAGTAAGAACACTGCTTCTCGATCTCAACCAAGTAAATAAGGAGAAGAACCCATGGAGAATTATTGCTAAATGGTTTTATGAACGATACGTCGTGTTTGTAGTTATCGTTCACAGTCTCCACCTCATACTAATAGGAACATGGAACTGAACATACATAACTCTCCAGCCCATTGCCTAGGAGAAAGATACAACCGCCCCCATTCTATCATCACCGTCAATCCATTTATTACGACACGACAACTTAAGTCCCTGCGGCGTAGCCGCGGGTATTGATTCTAGTATATATGAAAGAACAGAACTGTACAGCTAGCTATCAGTTCTAATTATAGAGTTACAATGGTAAACAAAATGGATTAATTGAAGTGATCTATGCTAAGCCAACACGTGGTGTTGTACAGTATAAATGGAAGAGTGTCTTGGCGCCTAACTGCAACGTCGTCGTCCTTGTCTCTGCCTCTCGATCACTGCACAGCTGAATGACGTCGTATCAGTGGGTCCAAGGAACCAAGACCGGTTCATCCCTTCAATCAACTTTGGTTCGATTACTCTGTTATGCCCTCTCAAGCTGAGCATACAGGTTCTATATGTTCAGCTTGGATAATAAGAATTGTAAACGAAACCTGCTCAAACCCTTTGTAAAAAGATCTGCAATTTGGTTCTTTGTATCCAGATGGTGAAGGGAAATGAGCTTGGACTGAAGGTATTGACGAACCACGTGACAATCGATCTCTATGTGTTTCGTCCTCTCGTGAAACACAGGATTTTCAGCAATGTATAGAGCTGATCGATTGTCACAATAGACTTCTACTGGGGTGAGAATGATGTACATTGAGTTCTTGTAGAAGTCTCTTTACCCAAACAATTTCACAGGTAAGCTGAGCTAGGGCCCGATACGAGATGGTGGTCATGTAGTTTCCGTAGCTTCCGCCTCCGCTACCTACTTCATAGTAGGATTTGTCGTAGAGCGCGCACATGTATTTGCGGTGGTAGTGGCGAAGTCATTTGAGGTCAAGGTGGGGTCATTTGCGCCACCTTGACACATAAAATATAGAGTAAACTTATTTATGTGATTGTAGATTGAATACAAGATCGTCATGTCATTGTAGATAATTTTATGAAAAGTAATATTTTGTGATCTTTATTCAACTTTTAATTCATATATTATGCAAGTGAGTTTAATATAAACAAAAACTACTAACTTAGGGACGTTTGAGTCTATCGTTGCCATTGCAATTATTGAAAGAGCACTGACTGCAATAAGCAAAGTAAAGAAACACTTTAAAATAAGATAAATTGTGGAATCATGAATGATTTTTCGATGTGGTATCTTAACATCCTTCACAATTTGCATGTTGAATGTATTTTAGAAAATTTTCAGAACATAAACATATCTTGAAACTTAGGTTATTTGTATTTTTCTTTTTCTTCATACTGGAGTATGAGGGAGGAGTCTGGATGTTCTTTGAGATTTTCCTTCATACTATGATTTTTGTGGAAATTAAGATATTTTCCATGGAGGGAAAACAAAATAGCTTGAAAATACTAATTCGGAGAAATTCAAGGGGCGGAACTAGTTTGCACCAAAGTTTCTTTCTATTCACATAAATCAAAAGCACCAAATTCTTTTTTCTTTCTTTTCCCAAAAATTTAAACACAAAATTTTCTTCTTCCTTTTTCTTTCCAAAATGTTGAAAACAGAAAAATGTCTAACTTCTTTTAAAATAATCAAATTACCAAAAAATTTACTTTAGTCTATTTATATGTAATTGATAACTTGGTTGAACAGTTAAATTTACCAGAATTTAAATGTATACATAATATATATATTAATGTTAACCATTGTCTTAAGGAGTTGGCTTAGTGGTAATGTGCGAATGAGAACATACACTACAGTCTATATTTGAACCTTGAGGCCAACAATCAACGGAAAAAGAGTGGCACTATGCGGATTTTATATTTCATATTTATTTTGCAATTTTCTTAAAGAACTTATTTTTCAAATGAACTTATTTATAATTTTATTAAAACTACATCATTTCAAGTGAATTTCATATTTTGAAATTTCCTTTATAGAATGATAAAATGATTTTACTTAGGTTTAGAATAAAAAACTTCATATTGAAAGACTATATATCATATAATATAATAATTATATAGGCCGATTGGGTTACGTGTTTAATTGGATTGCGGATCTATCCAATTTCGGTTAATCAAGTTATGGACTAGCCGAATTACAAGTTTACGGACAGGTTGTATATAGGAACGGATCAGGTCAGTAATCTTATGGTGGGGAATGGATCAGGTCAGTAATCTTATGGTGAGTAACTATGAGTAACTCGCCCATATCAGCATGACATCAGCATCCTCTCTCTCCTGGAAAGCCTTTAATTTTCCCCTCCTTAATGTTTGATGGACGATTTCTCACTCGTTTTAAGTCGAAAATTAAATTTTTCTGCACAGTTAGATCAGATTAATTGTGCTCTTCAAAATGATATCCACTTTGATATATTTTTCCAACAAAAAAAAATTGAGCCATTTTTTACCAGTCTATACCATATGGTATTGACTGGTAGGGGTGGGCATTGGGTGGGTTGGGTGGATTTTGACCATAAAATGCACCCACCCGCGCTTAAACGGATTGATCATTTTTAACCCACCACCCACCCACATTTAGTCTCGGGTTGGGTCGGGCGGATGGTGGATGATGCGGGTGGGTTTGTGAGTTCATCCACATCACAATGTATATAATATAAAGGAGTTAACTTGACATGATAATAGGTGAAGAGAATCATCGAGGGAAACAAGAAGTTGAAATATGGCGAAAAATGTCGAATTAGTTCTTAAATTGGATAGAAATTCTATTATGAAAGAGTTTTCTACAGATTGAGACGATTATTAGGTGCAAGGAACTAAGAAAAATAATTCCACAAAGGAAAGAGCGATGATCTAGGCACAAGAATTAAAGGGAAAAGTAAAGGGAAGAAGAGGAGATCTCTATTTGGAAGGTTGGCTTTGAGGTTCAAACTCCAGGAGCAGTCCGAGTTTATATCTAACGTCTCCACTCTCCTCTCTCTAGCGTCAACGACTTTGATCTTTTTGATGTTGGGTTGAGCGGGTCACCCGCACACTCACCCACAACCCACCCACCACCCGGCGGATGGCTCCGAGCGCAATCCGTCACCCACCCACAGACCCACCCACTTAATGAAATTCGGATCAAATGCGGGTGGGTCGGCTCAAACCCGCGGATGATCCGCCCGCATGCCCAGCCCTATTGACTGGTATTGAAATAAGAGCATACTTATGGTTTGAAAAGCGTACCATGGTGGTATGAAAAAACCAAGATTGTAAGATGATTGAATACATGATAGTAGAAGTATATTAATTGTCATTTACGACTTTTAACATTGTATACCATAAGATACCATAAAATACCACCCCGTACCAGGGTGGTATTGTATGGTATTTGGTGGTATTTTTTTGTCTTGTAATTTGTTCACCCAGAAATTTGTAGATCCAATAGATCATGATGAACTCGTCCTTGCTGTGCAAACGTTTTCAAAAACGAATGAAAAACGAAGAAGATACCATATGGTATGCAGTTGGTACCGAGAGGCCAAAAAAAATTTCCCTAAAAAAATATTGAAAATTGATCTCATTTTGTAGATCACGATGAACTCGTTCCATCTGTGCAAAAAAAATTAAAATCCGAGTTAAAACGAAAAATATATGAGTCAATTAAGAAAGCTAGTGAAAATAAAAATTGTCTTTAATTCTCCATCCTTAGATCTGGATTTTCTAAATGAAGAGTCGAGATTTGGTTATTGACGGGTGCATAACCATGGGTTATGCACCCTATCTTGAGCCCTTATGGTGAGTAGCTATGAGTAACCCGCCCACATCAGCATGACATCAGCATCCTCTCTCTCTCCTGAAAAGCTTTTAACTTTGACGGACGATTTCTCACTCGTTTTAAGTTAAAATTTAATTTTTTTTTGCATGGTTAGATCAGATTAATTGTGCTCTTCAAAATAATATCCACTTTGATATATTTTTCGAACAAAAAAATATTGAGCCATTTTTTACCAGTCTATACCATATGGTATTGACTTGTATTGAAATAAGAGCATACCTATGGTTTGAAAAGCGTACCATGGTGGTATGACACAAACCAAAACTGTAGGATGGTTGAATACATGATAGTAGAAGTATATTAATTGACATTTACGACTTTTAACATTGTATACCATAAAATACCACCCCGTACCAGGGTGGTATTGTGTGGTATTTTTTGGTCTTGTAATTTGTTCACCCAGAAATTTGTATATCCAATAGATCATGATGAACTCGTCCCTGCTGTGCAAACGTTTTCAAAAACGAATTAAAAACTAAGAAGATACCATATGGTATGCAGTTGGTACCGAGAGGCCAGAATTTTTTTTTCCTCAAAAAATATTGAAAATTGATCTCATTTTGTAGAGCACGATGAACTCGCTCCATCTGTGCAAAAAAAAAAAATTTAAAATCCGAGTTAAAACGAAAAAGATATGAATCAATTAAGAAAGTTAGTGAAAATAAAAATGATCTTTAATTTTCCATCCTTAGATCTGAATTTTCTAAATAAAGGGTCCAAATTTGGTTATTGATGGGATGGGTTATGCGCTAACTTGAGCCGTTGTATATCGTTAACTTTTAGTTATAAGAATTTGATCCCCTCTGTTGCCGTGACTTCTATTCTATTACAAGGTAGCGTTAATATAAATATAAAATTGATTTTATTTTTTGTTTATGTGTTAATAATTTCCAAAAAAAAAAAACTGAGAATATTCAGATCCAATCTCTCTTTCTCGGCAATCCTATCAGCATCCTCCGCACCTCAACAATTTACCTCTCTATCTATTTTCGTTCGTGTGGATCATTGATATCGACGCTTTGCATCCTTCGTTCCTAGGTTTACCAACAGCCATTCCTGGCTAGAGTTAGAAATTGTCTCTTACGACAAGGAGATCTAAGTTTCAGAGGTCAGCATCTTCCCTTCATGTGTTTCTTCTTCCTTTCTAAGATCATTTGATGTGAATGAGTTGATTGGTGTATTGCGTTTTTCTTATCATTATCATCGTCGTCATCATCATTTTGTTATTCTATAGACGTGCTTCCCTATTATATTGTCATTCTTTATGTATCTTTATCCCTAGCGAACCCTTGTTCTACGAGCTTTCCTTATTTTATTTATTGTCTCTAATTTAAAACAATCAACCTAAAGTGTCACCTTCATTGTTAGCCTATTCTTCTTCTTATTTTTATTTATAAGAATACTTTATTTTTTCCTTCCCTCAATTTGAGATTTATCTGTCGATGTTTATGTTGCCTGAGGAATATGATGCATTGCCATTGTCAATGTGTTGCAGAAAGATTGTTATCTTGTAGTTACCATAAGCCCTTATCTTGTATCATAAATTGAATTTTGAATGTATCATAAAAAATTTGACTTATTGGGGAGTTTCCTTTGAATTGAAAATTAAAATGCTATCTTTCGATCTACTTGGCAGCAAAACAACATTGATCATGTTATTTGGTTTTAGCATGCATTGAAAGTGATGAAGGGGAAAACTTATGAAAAAAGTTAAAAGAAGATAGTAGAGATGGTAGAGAGCCAATGTGTAGAAGCCAGTGGCAACGAGGACCAAATACTGGTCCGCGAATTGTGTGCAAATGGAGCTTGCATGAAAGTAGACGAGGTAGAAGCAAAGCTTGATGCAGGAAATATACAAGAGGCTGAATCTTCTATACGGGAGGGGTTATCTTTAAGTCTTGAGGTTTGGCTCTTTCGACTTAATTTTCGACTATGTTATTGGTTTTCTTGTTGGTTGCACTGAGCATTCCATGAAAGAATTAGTAGTATTGTCTTCTGCTCATTGCATTGCTTCAACCTCTTTGTACATCAATTTAGAATAATGTTCCATCTACATTCTCCATCTATATATGTCCTCAAATTTTTTTTTTTTTTTTTTTGTTTTTTTTAGGAAGCTAGAGCCCTCCTTGGGAGGTTGGAGTATCAGAGAGGGAACATAGAAGGGGCTCTTGGTGTTTATGATGGCATCGATCTCCAAGCTGCCACAGAGAGATTGCAGTCTTTAGCTGACAATAATGCTGCCCGTAAAAACCGACCTCGTGATTCGCCGACGAGTGGCTCACAACATGCCGCCAGCCTGGTGCTTGAAGCAATATACTTGAAGTCCAAGTCCCTACAAAAGCTTGGGCGATCCTATGGTATTATTTTCAATGATGGGCGATTCCTTACTTACTTACTTACTTACTTGTTGCCTTCAGGGCGCGGTTGTACGTGCTCTCTTTTCATCGATTGCTACTTTTTTTTTTTTTTTTCCGAAACAGATGCTGCTCAGGAATGTAAGAGTGTGCTTGATGCAACGGAGAAGATATTCCAGCAGGGGATATCCGATGTACAGGTAGATAACAGGTTGCAAGACACGGTGAGTCAGGCAGTAGAGCTGCTCCCCGAGCTCTGGAAGCAAGCTGGTTACTATCCCGAAGCAATATCTGCTTACAGAAGAGCTCTTCTAAGCCAGTGGAATCTCGATAACGACTGTTGCGCAAGGATTCAGAAAGCATTTGCGGTTTTCCTGCTGCACAGTGGAGTGGAGGCTGCCTCCCCGAGTTTGACATCTCAGGTTGAAGGTTCTTACGTACCCAAACATAACCTGGAAGAGGCCGTCTTGCTTTTGCTTATCCTTGTCAGGAAATACAGCCTTGGCAAGACGAAATGGGACCCGTCGGTTATGGAGCATCTTAGCTTTGCATTATCCATCTGCAACCAAACTTGTGTCTTAGGGAAGGAGCTTGAAGAGACGCTGCCAGGTGTGCTCCATCGCGTCGAACGGTGGAACACTCTGGCTCTCTGTTACAGTGGGGCAGGACAGAACAGAGTCGCGTTGAACCTACTGAGAAAGTCTCTCCACAAGCACGAGAGGCCAGACCACGTAGTGGCGTTGTTGCTGGCTGCCAAAATATGCAGCGAGGATTCTCATCTTGCTGCGGAGGGAGTGGAGTATGCACAGAGAGCAGCCACTGTGAAAGCACAGGGTGGTGCTGATGACGACGAGCAGAACCTCAAAGGTGTGGCCGTCCATGTGTTGGGACTGTGCTTGGCCAAACAAGCTAAAGCTTCTTCGTCTGATTTCGAACGGTCTCGGTTGCAGGCCGAAGCCTTGAAATCGTTAGAGGTTGCAGCCTCCTTGGAGCCGAGCAATCCGGATCTGGTGTTCGACCTGGGTGTTCAACATGCAGAGCAACGCAACCTGAGCGTTGCTCTGCGTTATGCTAAGAAATACATTGACGTGACTGGTGGGTCCATGTCAAAGGGTTGGAGATTGTTGGCTCTCATACTATCTGCTCAGCAGCGATTCTCGGAGGCTACGGTGGTCACTGATGCTGCTTTGGATGAGACCGCAAAATGGGAGCAAGGACCACTGCTCAGGCTGAAGGCAAAACTCAAAGTTGCACAGTCTCTCCCTTCAGAAGCTATCGAAACCTACAGTTATTTGCTTGCGTTGATCCAAGCACAGAGGAAGTCTTTTGGCCCTGTCATAAGTGTTTCTCAGGTAATACAAAAAAAAAAAAAAAAACAATCTGAGATAATGAAATTGTTATTATGTATAATAAAGTGTTGTTTATGTCGTACTACGGTGGCAGGCTGAGGATGACAAGGTGAACGAATATGAAGTCTGGCATGGTCTAGCCGATTTGTATTCTAGGCTTTCTCAGTGGAAAGACGTGGAGGTGTGCCTGGGGAAAGCGAGAGAACTGAAAAAGTACTCTCCGGAGCTGCTTCAAACGGAAGGCATGATGCTGGAAGCACGTGGAGAGTTACAGGCCGCCTTGTGCTCTTACGTATGTGGACACCTGATGGAGCCATCTTATGTCCCTGGAATCATACTGGTTGCGGCCCTGCTATCCAAGAGGGAATCCGAGGCTTCGAAACCTGTAGCGAGAAGCATCCTCACTGATGCACTCCGGCTTGAACCCACGAATCGGAAGGCCTGGTACTACTTGGGGATTGTGCATAGGGATGATGGGCGAACAGCTGATGCTGCTGACTGCTTCCAAGCTGCATCCATGCTCGACGAATCTGACCCCATTGAGAGTTTCACTTCTATCTACTGACTGACCGTTTCCTGGCTGGTTGGTAGGTATACTTAATTATCTCTTCTCCACACTCTCTCCTCCATAGTTTAGCAATGGTTTTGAGTTATGCTTAACCACTCTCAACTATTCCTCCTTCTTTTCGTTTAGATGGCTTCATCAATCCACCCAACTATCGACAACTTTCTTCACCAGTGTTATCTACCCACTTTTGAAGAGCCCATCACAGTCCTCTGATTCTGAATATGCCCCCTATTTTTGTGTGGTTTTTGGAGGTGAATATGGTTGGGAGAGAGAGAAACTTTCAAGAGGGCTAAAGAGTCATATTGAGGAAAAGACCATGTATGTATGATTATGAATAATATGTTTGAAAGTAAAAGAGAGTATAGTAGTGGTGGCGAGTCTTTATAATTCTATATTCCTGGTTGAGCTTTCATAAATGTATATTGTGGTTTTTAGCCTAGAAATAGAGTAAGTGAAGAAAAAAAAGAAAATTTTCCATTAAAAGAAAATTTCAGTCACCGTACCAAATGTACATTGTTACTCTCTCACAGCTTTTACTTCTTGTTTTTATGAAATCTTTTAGCTCCTGTTCTTTCTTCTCATTTTGTTTACATAAAGAATTAAAGATTAATTCAGAACTCATGAAAGGGTTGCTTTAGCTATTAGCTAGAATGAGGCTAGCATGCATCAAAACAATTATATATATAAACTAGTATTGAGTCCACTCTTGGGCGGGTTTTAATTATATATTTTTTCTGCATGATTTTACTAGATTTATGTTATTTCATAATTCGTAACATGTATAGTTTGTATTCATAGCAAACGTCCATTTTTCACTCGGTAAAGTGTAGTTAATTTGTTCAAATTGATCATCGTGACAAAACCAAGATGCTAACCCTAAAGTGTAGTTTGTACAAATTGATCATTTTACTAGTATCCATTTTCGAATTAAAACTTATGAAGGGTGATTCGCATGGTTCCCATGGTGCTAACCCTAATTGTCAACAAGGTAGCTGATGCTCAAAAGTATACATAGTAACAAAATTGAAAATATTTTATTTTTTAGTGATTATAATGCTTTTTGTCATGTGTTTGATCGTTAGAGGATGAATAAAATTATCCTTTTCTATAAATGAAAAAAATAAATACAATTTATTAAGAAAACCTTTCAAACGTCAAATATTTCAAAAATGCAAAATATTTCAAAATTAATAATATTTATAATTTCTTTAAATTTTTGTCCAACCATGCTATCCAACCATGACGATGTTGCTAAATGGTTAATGCTTATATTTTTTTCCGGATTTTAGAAGTATTTTTTTCTGCTTCAAAAGGTGAAAAATGGCCAAACACCTCTAAAAGCTTGGCTTTTGCAAAGCTGAAAAGTGTTTCGGTATAGCATAAAAGAAGAAATTTCGATCCGAGCTTCTGCGAAATTTTTTGTTGAAAATACAAAATTATCCTTATCATATTTAATTCTATTTTGAAAAATATAATTTATCTTTCATTTCTATCATTTTAAAAACCATTTTATTAATTTTTATTTTTAAAAAATTTTATTCATATTTTACATTAAAAAATAAAAAAAAAATTAGTAATTTTACATCAACTCTTATACTAAAATCATTTCTAATATTTTCTTTTATGAATACTGACACTCATTTGCTTATTTTGAAAAGTACTCTTTAAAAGCTCAACCATTAAACTACTTTTCGAAAAGGTACAGCGGACATAATAATTAGGGATGGCAATGGGTCGGGTCGGGTCGGTGCGGATAATACATATATGTTACCCTATTCAAAGTAGTTCGGGTTTTACCCATACCCATACCCACATGATAAACGGGTAGAAAATCAAAACCATGCCCATACTCGTTCGGGCTTGGGTATCCACGGTTATCATGAATAATAATTTCTATTTATAACTCCAACCAATATATTAACATTCACACTTACTAGCTTGTACCCCGGCACGTTGGCCGGTTGTAATGTGATGATAACAATAATTAACAAAGTTGAAATTTCAGCAATCAACTCTTTTCTTATATTCTTGCCATGATTATATATCAATGTCATCCTAATTAACTAACAATGATATCGATTTTCAAAAATAGATAGCAAGGTTGTTTCCTATATTTTACCATTAAGAACGCCAAATTTGTTGTAGATAATGTTGATATAGTATAGGGATCTCCTACAGTAACTTGGATATAATTTTAAGTTAGGTAACTTGCATAGATCTAAACCGTTAAAATTGATTACACTTATTTTAAACCATTGATTAAAAAAATAAAAAATAAAAAAATAACTATAAAAATAAATGGCAACATGAGTTGCCGGTCACCACATACCCAAGTTACCTTTTTCAATTTTTTCTTTCCTATTTTCACATTTAGTTGTCTTTCCATATTTTAACATTTCCTTTTTTAATTCTTATTGAACTAGAAGTGTTACGTAAGGCTTCCGTAATAACTTAGCTCTTTACGTAACACGACGTTAATATTCATTACGTAAAGAGACCTTCTATTACGTAAGGCTTCCGTAATTATATTTTACAACTGTTACGTAAAATACACATTCACTACGTAAAGGTTACGGAATGATAGTTATTTCTTACGTAACACTTAAATCGGAAGCGTTACGTAAGGCTTCCGTAATGACTTAGCACTTTACGTAACTCAAGGTTAAGACTCATTACGTAAAAAGACCTTCCATTACGTAAAGGTTACGAAACGACAGTTATTTCTTACGTAACATTTAATTCAGTAGCGTTACGTAAGGCTTCCGTAATGACTTTGCAATTTACGTAATGCGAGGTTAATACTCATTACGTAAAGACACATTCTATTACGTAAGGCTTCCGTAATGACCTTTTACAACTGTTACGTAAGATTATCATATGTTACGTAACCATTACGTAATGCCTATTGTATTTTATGCAATACAACCTGTGAAACCTGCTATAGCAGGTACAAAAATTCAAGTTACCTTACTTCAAGTTACCATAGGAAATCCCTATAGTATATTATTATAAGAAAGTCAAAATATTCAATTCTTGAAAATGAGCATCCTTCATAATGACTACTAACATCTGCCTTCTATGTTGATTTTTATTGAAATTCAAAATCCAAGACTTACGCAAGGGTATATTAACTCATATAAACTTATTGACACAATATTATAGGTATTCTAAAGTAACTGCTATCACTCTTTTATCATCAAGAATCTTCATCATTAACTCCACTATCTTCATTAACAATAAAAGCTTTTTATTTTTGCATTTTCTGTGAAGCAAATTCTAAACACAAAACATAATCATCTACTAAAATGAAATTTTCATGATAATATACATTTTTTAGACACAAATATTGTTATTAAGCTTTGTAGACTATTAAGATAATAGGTCCCTCAAGCTTAGCCCATCCTTTTTTTTCATCATGAATTATCTTCAAAATTGTTAACCCAGGTATGGAATTTGTGATATTGTAATCGCTAAACTTGGACTGCAAGAGGGGGAAAAAATGAAAAGGCCAACTGGTATGCCCACAGTATGATTATGGGATAACAATGCAAGTGATATGGCCAATTCATATAGCATGAGCTAATATGTAAAAATGCAGCTAAGAAATCCCATAGTTGGTTTAAGAATACGCAGCACACAATTTTTTTTTTTTTTTTAAAAAATACGCAGCACACAAATCCCCCATATAATAGTTTCCATGGGGAAAAAAACTTCGAATTATAAATTCTACAACTATTTTTGTTGAATTAAATTCTACAACTCTAGTGGTCTGCAGGAGCCAAAATATGAAAGCCCGAGTGATATGTGCTATGCATCGAGAATCGGGGAGGAAAAGACTAAAACATCCTTCCTTGCTTTGCGGGAAAGCAGGGAAAACTAAATTGAGTACCTCCCAAGCAAGAATGTACTTAGATATGTGGGAGGATACTGTTAGAGAGTGGTATAAGATCCAGCATAACCTTCTCCCAACAACTCGAGTTATTGGGAGCAACTGGTTCATGACATGATATCAGAGCCTAGAACCGAAAGGTCATGTGTTCGAATCTCCACGACCCCCAATATTAACCGTTGTCTTTCAAGCACATGGTATGGTGGGCCTGTGCAAACTTCAAGCCCGTGGGTTGGCTTTCGTTTGAGGGGGCGTGTTAGAGAGTGGTATAAGATCCAGCATAACCTTCTCCCAACAACTCGAGTTATTGGGAGCAACTGGTTCATGACAGATACTCACCTTACATAAGAGGAAAAGTACGACAATAATTCACTATAATGAAGAAAATTAATTAAAGGGTTAATTCCCTAAATATTTTATTTTATTTACCACGAATATAGTGGTTTAAAAACTATTTACAAGAATATTGTGTTTTTTTGGTATGTTGAAAGAGTTCACGTCTTAGACTCAGGCGCTGCCGCTAGGTGTTGTTTTATGAATAAAATCCAGCGGCGACGCCCGAGAATGGGGCTTTGGCGCTTAAATAAAAAGCAAAAGCGGCGGCGCCCCAGACTGAGGCTTCGTCGCTGCCTTCTTTTCTTCCACTCCAGCATCACCATCACCATCACCATATATACTCCACCTTTCCTTCGGTTCTTCACCACCAAAAAACTGAAAGAAGTTCCGAAATAAGCTCTAGTGTTGCTGTCTGGTTGCTGGGAAGATGGCTAATAATAGGTAAGAGACGTATTTATTTTTTTAATGTATTCTTCATAATGATTTTGTCCAGTTAGTAATTAGTGAGTTTGTTTTTTATGTAGTGGTTTTAGAAGATTTGAACTAGCTACTCGGTGGAAATCAGAGAAAGTAGAGGACAATCTGGGTGTCCATTTCGTTGGTGGTGTAAGTTTTCAGATGACTATTCCATCCAGGGTGAACTATCAGAAACTTTGTGACAATCTAAATCGGAGAATACGGCGTAGAGACGAAACAGTACAAGATAGTGTTGTGATTACAAGTTTCACTTACTGTCTTCTAGAATGGCAGAATTGTGTTTTATTTCATTATGCAATGCCTATTGTCGATTATGATAGTTTAAATGTGCTTTGGAATTTTATGGCACAAAATCCTTATTGTTTGGGTGCTGAGATACATGCTGAGCTCAGTGAGGATCGGGGTGAAGAGGAAGAAGATGACACATGGAGCATGCCATCCGATCATGACTATGATGACGGTGATGACGGAGAGGAGGAAGACGATGAGGATGAGGAGGAGGAGGAGGAGGACGACGAGGAGGAGGGAGGAGAACAACCTAATTATCCTCCATATTTTTACTTGCAGGGTAATGAAGAGGACGAGGAATTATCATATGTTGATTCATATGGCGTAATTCCAATGCCTATTGTTGGCTCCATGCAGTCGTACTGCAAATTAAATATAAAATATCAGAAATTCTACACATCTAAAAACAATTAAAACGCAAATTTTAATTGATAAAAAAACTCATTGTTGCGTTCAGTGCAGCAACTCTCTGTGTGCCTGAACTTCTAGTGACATCTTTATACCACTCTCGATGCTCCGAGTGGTAAGCTAAAAGTACGTC